TGCAAGGCTTAAAAGGGTTGCTAAATTCTTGGCTTTCCCTAACTGAGAGGCATTATTCTCAGAAGTTTCCATTAAATTCTTTTTTAAAGTAATAGTTTCCTTTGTAACGTTGATTGTGCAAAGCTGTAAAAACAAGCCACTGTTGGTTTGGACCTACCGGAAGGAGCAGTTCAGCATTAAGACTGAAATGCCACCAAGTCAGCTGTACCCCAATAGGAATCCCTTCTACAATACACCTAACCTTGGTTCCTGGCCTCTCCTGAATGGACTGTCACAGATGTCACTGTCCTAGGAGTTTAACCGGACTTAATGTCAGCCCATTCCATTGGAGAACAGCTCTGGGAAATTCTTTCTTAAACTGACCCAAACCCACTGGCCCATCTGGAAAAACAGACTATGAAATAAATCCAGACTATTTTCTGCTTGAGAGCCCTTCAATTGTTTAAAGAGAGCTATCTCAAGGTTTCCTTTTCCTTAGTTCTTTCAACTGTTCTTCACAGGACCTGGGGGATCCTCACCACTGTAGTCCCCATGCGTCCAACAAACATTAACTGAGCACTGAATACTGGTATGGTAGTGGCCCCTAGGGTCTTTCTGGTTTGCCAGTGTCCTCAACAAACGGTACCTGTAACTGAAAACACTTACGATGTGGTCCAAATAAAAAAAAAAATTATTACTTTTTTTTTATTTGGACCTTGCATTTTTTTAAAATTAATGAAGCTATTTCCATTATGTGTATTTTTTTGGGGGTTACATGTGGAGACTCTGAATGAAAACAAATGAAAAACCCCAGTCCACAAGAAAAAAGACCTTTTTTTTCTCATGTTTTTTTGGCTCATGGTCTCCTCTAGTTTATAATGACATACACAATAGATATTTTATGCTGAAGGAAGGACTCCATTGCCCTTATTAATTTTATCTTGTTAGTTTCAGTCCATTGTTCCAACCCACTGACAACTTCCTGAATTCAGATCCTTTCATCCAAAATATCAGCTCTCTGTCTATGCTATTTCATGTTAAATCTGATAAGCAGCACTGCCACCTTCATCCAGATCACTGAAAAAATTGCTAAGTGGAATCATTAGAGACCTTCCTCCAGGCCAAGCTAACCACACAAGGGGGGTGGCAACATTTCAGGCATGTGAAGGAAAGTTTGTGCACTTCAAAAAAATCATATTCAGCAGTATTCTTTTTCATGAAAATGAAGAACCTATCAATTTCCTTTTTTATTTTTATTTATATTTATTTATCTGAGATGGAGTTTCACTCTTGCTGCCCAAGCTTAGGTGCAATGGTGTGATCTGGGCTCACTGCAGCCTCCACCTCCTGGGTTCTTGGGATTCTCTTGCCTCAGCCTCCCGAGTAGCTGAGATTATAGGCACATGCCACCACGCCCGGCTTATTTTTTGTATTTTTAGTAGAAATGGGATTTCACCATGTTAGCCAAGCTGGTATCCAACTCCTGACCTCAGGTCATATGCCCGCCTTGGCCTCCCAAAGTGCTGGGATTACAGGCGTAAGCCACCACACCCGGCAATTTCCTTTTTAATACAAACAACAGATGATATAAAGCTCAGCAGAATCTTGTCTGGTGGAGAAGCACAGAAGACAGACTCAACAGTAGAGGGTGGACAATAAGATATTAATATTTAAAGAGGAGGTGTTTAGGATTTAAAAAGGTGTCAACACTGATCCAGATAGACACTGTCCTCATGGATTTCAACTCTCCTGGAATAGCTCTTGGGCTATGAAGCAACTTAACTGAACCATTATCCACTCAGTATTTCTCCATCTTGTCCAAAAGGCTAAGAGAAGAAACAATCAGATTTCTTACAAACTCAGAATGTATCTATGTATACAGTATTCGACCAACCTAGAAACCTTACCCAAAAAGAACAGATTACTAACTGAGCCTGACTTGTTGAACCTAAGCTGGCTCTCCTGCTTATATCACCTCCAGTGGACGCCGTTCCTTCAAATCCCTCTTGCTCCTAAGGCACGTGAGTGATGCTCATAGTTCCGACATCAACCCCACCCTTCTAGGCTGAGGCTCTCTCAATGCCCTTCTGTCAGCCCCTCCATCTGCCTCATATCCCCCTCCCTTACCCACCAGCCTTTCAGGACATTCTCCCACCTGCCTCAATGACTTCAGCCTAGGTTGGGATTGCTTTTCCACTCTTTCCAGGATGTCATTCTCAGCATTTTCTTAGAATTTGGTGGTGCTTTTGGATTCCTGACTTTACAACTCCTAGCCTACTTCCTGCTGACTTTCTTCTCTGTTCCCCATCATCACCCTGGTCATGTGGCCTGCAGCAAGAACACCCTGCACCTCTGAGATTCCCATTCCAATTCTGAATCATTTTCCCTCTCTCACTCCTTTGTTGAGGCTCTCAGGCCAGTTTCCCTCCTTGGTCCTGCTATTCTTACTACCTTCTGGCTAAACACGTTCCTGATCCTGTCTCCATCTGTGGCAAAGCTTTTTGATACTTTTCTTTGCTAGAACTTGTCACCTTCTCGATTTTCCAGTAACAAAACAAGGATTGAGTATTTTGCCTATTAACATTACGCCAAATACCGTCATCTTTACCTTTCAAACAAATCCAGAATCCTCAGATTTCAACGCCTTCCCTGCTGTCATAGCCCTAGCATCATATTTCTTGCCTACATTATTGGGATGGATCCATCAGGCCTCTGTGCAATGATTCAGGCAAGAGGCAATGGTGCTAGGATGATGTCACCAGGCGGATGGCAGTGAGGGTGTTGAAAACTGTTCTGATTTGTCCCTTACTCCTGTTCTCAGAGCAACTGGAGTAATTATTTTGGAATGTCAGGTCACGTCATTACCCTACTCAAACCCATCAAAGGTTTTCCATTGCACTCTAAATAAAAGCCAAGTAACCAGATGGTCTTCTTTAACATTGTTCCTGTCCCCCAAATGTCCTAGTCCCCTTTCCTGCTTTATTTTTTTCCATAGCATCCACCACCACCAAACATTTAAAGAATTTTACTTCTTTACTATGGTTATTTCTTCTGTTGCTTCTTCATGCCCTTTAAGTTCTATGGGGATAGCTACCTGTGGCATCTCCTATACGTAGAAGCGTGCTCAACATATAATGGGTACCCAATAAATATTTGGTTAAGTGAGCAAATTAATACTACCTTCCCTATGCAGAGGCTTTATTTGTATTTTCTTGTTCCATAATATATTTGCAAAACAAAAGCAAAGAGCCTCCTTGTTCAGCTGCTTTCTAAGTCTGGCTATGCTGTTCCTACTGATGCTCACTCACAAGCACCCCTTTCCCACCTCTGCCCTAGCGGGCTAGGTGCTGTCCTTACAGGCTCAGACATTCTCTATGAATATCTGAACTCAAGATCCCCATGCAGCCACACCCGATGCCCTTTTACTCTAACGAGCAGCAGTTATAGGACTTCTTCACCATAAACATACTTTGTCTTTGTGGCAATTTTATACATCCCTTCAGCAAAGCTTTGCTCACACTGTCCCCACGGCTGGGAGACCTGCTGGCAAATCTCCCACATTTCTCTTTTAATCCACAAGCATCACTCTCCAGCTTAAAGTTCTCCATTGAATTCCCTTCATCTTAAAATAGAATCCAATGATGAAGCTCTCCATGATCTGGCCTTTGCACTCTGACATCTTCGATCACTCCGATGCGCTCTCGTAACACTGGCTTTCTTGTTTTTTATGACATGCCAGGGGGCCTGGTCATTCCTTCTGTCTGGGCCAGTCTTCCCTTTGATCCTGCCATGCTGGCTCCTGGGTATCACTCGGAAAGGCCTCACCTGACCACTCATCTAGAAGTCCAGTGTTCTCTGCTCCTGCTCATCCTGCTTCAGTGCTTCAAGCACAATCTGAAATGCTCTTAATTTGTTTACCTTCTGTCCCCACATCCTGCACATCAGCTCCATAAAGGCACAGACTTTCTTCCTATGTACCTCTCTATCTGTGTATCTACAATTGTGCAGGCATATGGTAGACACTAGCCAAATGGATGAATGAATGAACGAGGCCTGGCATGTCTCCCTTAGCATGTCAGTTTCTCTCTAAAGATATCCCCCATTCACCCTGCCTTAATAGCTAGCTTTTCTATGGCTAACATTCATGGCTGCATTCCCATTGCTCTGACATATGCTCACCTATTTATATTAAAATTTCAAGTTCCCTTTATTAGTATATATACAAATAGTTATAAAATCATAAAAAATAACATTTATGATTCTCTTGTCTATTCCTTTCTCAGTTCCTTAGTACCACATCAGAATGGCAGTTTTTTTGGTCACAGATATTCACCAGTGTATATGGTGTTACCAAGACAATTTTCTAACTTGGTTTAAAGGCAAGTTCCTCACTTAAAAGTTCTTCCTAGTCTTTGCTGGATTCCTCCATTTCCAGGAAGAGCCCCTACTCTGATTGCTTAACCCATGGGCCAGGAACCTAGAGTTCACACTTGGCATCATCTACATAAATCACTTCCCACGCTCTCCTTTCTAAGTCATGACTTTGAACTACAGAGAGAGAGACAGAGAGAGAGAGAGAGAGAGAGAGATACCACTTGTTTCTCTAAGTCTTAATTCCCTTAGCAAGACTTCAAAGTCATTTAAGAGGAACATGATCCCCTCTGGGGGGCATAACAGGACCTTCTCCCTTCGGGGACAGTATAATCTCAACGATTCACTTGTGCAGTTCCAATGACACACACCAGCAAGTCACATTCTTCCACTAACCTCTAGACATTGCCTTGGCTGCCTCTCCTCCCCTGGGGATCTTCCTTCCTGGAGTCTCTCTTCCCTCCTGGCAGAGCCCACTGTGGTATTAAAGCACACCAGGCTTGGAGTCAGAGGTTCTGAAGTCACATCTCAATCCTCATGTGAACTGGCTGTATGAACCTGGGAAAATCCCTCAGACCTCACTGAATCTGCCTCTTCAGCTGGATACTTCATAGGACGGTTGCAAGGATTAAGTGCAAACATGTCTGGAAATGTCTTTTGTGAAGGATAAGGTGCTATTTAGCCATCAGTTGTGGCTATTAAGATCTTTGGAGCCTCATTCTTTCTTCAATGCAGAGGTGGAGCTAACAGGCAACTGTAAGCAGGAAGACACAGCACATTCCCATAGGAAAACCATTTCCTGCTGAGCAATCAAGCCACCTAATTCATATTTTTTCTACAGCAAGCATGAAGGAACATACCCGTGCAACTTTATCCAGAACAGTCCATTGTTCTCCTCTAACATGAGGACTCAGATACTCAGAAGGATGCCTCAGAGATAACAATCTAAAGAAGGTATAGTTGGGTTAGATTGAAATAGTCATAAAAGGAGGCTTTTTTTTCACCCCCCTTAACTGAGAGCTCAGTGCCCCTCCAGGAGGAGGAAAAAGCCACAGGCAGCCTTGTTTTCTTCTCATTAGAAACTAAGTCCTAGCCCAGCAGAGGCACATTCCATAGGGGCTGGTTGGGTTTGAGTGGAGGCTGGAGCGCAGAAACATTTTGGGTCCCCCTTCTTGCCTTCCTATAACAAAATCTCAGCAGTTGCTTAAATCTCAGGAGGCCTGGGATGAAACACCACCCAGGCCTGGCTGGACAGGAACAGACACATGCCTGGAGCCCAAATGCGACTCCAGGCTTTTAAGAGCTTGGCATGACCCCAGTTAAGCAATTCTGGAATCCACAGAGACTCTCCCTTGACTCCCCTCTCCCCACACCCACTCTCCCGAGACCTTCCTGGAAAAAGCAATGCAGGATTGGCAACCACCTCGTGCTTCCTTTTTTCTGCCAGCCGTCTGTATTTCCAAAGGAATCAGGCCCTAAGCCTAACCACAGTGCTCAGTAAATGGAGGCTGCTTTCTGATTCTTTAAGCGACCTTACAGCAGGCAGCCAACTCTTCCCCCCTCACTACATGAAAGAGAGAGAAAAAGAGAGAGAGAGAGAGAGAGTGTGTGTGTGTGTGTGTGTGTGTGTGTGTGTTTCCTTTAAGGCAACACAAGAAGAGTTTGATGTTTGGTTAGATCTTACTATTATATTTTAAATGTCATCTTTTAAGAGTCTTTTTTTTCCCCTGGTTTCTAAGATTCACTTTGCCTTTGGATGGAAACTGTCTGCTGGAAAGACAGAGCTGCGCTGTGAAGGAGAGTGAAGCTAAGGCACGCTTAACAACGGCAAGCTCAAGTCAGAGTTACGGAGCAAGATCAGTCCCTGGGGTGAGTCTGAAGAGGCTGCGAAACATGCTCTATCCAGCTGGGAGTTTTGGGGCTTAGAATGTTTGGGGATGGACCCAACATCTCGCCCCAGGCTCACCACTGTATAACAGGCTTTAGGCATGCATCAATCTAGTTTTGGGGGTCATATTTTGGCTCATTGGGTTCCTGAATTTATGTGTTGGAAGGTATTTTCAGTAGGTATCTGAATGATATGATCCCTGGGAAAGTTACCCTGTGGGATAGAGGCTCTCTGAACAAATGCTACCTTGTTTTCTTTCTTTGGTTCTTGGAGTATCCTTTAAATTAGTTGAAGCCTATAGGCCTTAAGCTGTGAATAACTTGATAGACTTCTGCTAAGACAGTGCAAGTTAGATTCAGGCACAAATAGTACCTTTCAATTGTGAGTGTGATTAATATTTGGTGATAAACAGAAGAGGGCTGGTAGCAGCCTAGCTTGTGCATACCTGGCTCCCCGTAATGAGAGAAACCACCTACTCATCTCCTTAGCCACATGAAAGGCTGCTGGCTCTTCTCCAGGAAAATGCTCCATAATGGGGCCCAAGCTCTGGTCCCCGACAATGCAAGTGCCCTGGAGGAAGTTGCCTGATTGGTAGGGTTAATCCACAGTCCCTGGGGAAATGCCTAGCTCCCCACTACTCCCCATCAGTACGCCTGAGCCAGACCCTGCCTAGAGTTCTGAGAGTGGTAACCATTCCTCTTTTCTGGCCTAAAGACTCTTCTCACCAGGACTATGGAGAATAGCAAGAGGCAACGGAGATTGATCTCATTTTACTGGTCAATGTTCTTTGGGAGAGTCTATTGGGTTACAGCAGAGGTTTCACCAGTGGTAAGAAATATATCAATCCTGTTGACCCAATGTATGCACAAACAGATTGCAAAAAACAATATTTACCCTAAGTGTGTGATATACACTGATATTTTCTTTCTATCCTGTGCTATTCAATTGTTTAAAATGCTGCTCTTCATATATTAAACTGATTTCACAATCCTGTAAATGGGTTCCTACCCACAGCTCAAAGTTTGGTAGAAGAACAGAACCTGCTCTAAGTAGCTTCCAAGTTAGGAGCTCAGACTTTGACCAGATAAAAACAATGGGTTCTACTGGATTCATTTGCAAATATTTCCTGAACACCTAGTAGGTCCCAGGCACTGGCACAAGTGCTGGGTATATGGAGTAGAATAAAGAAAACAAAGTGAAAGTCACCTTTCGATTCATAGGCAGAGTTCCGCAGCAGAAAAGGATTCACTTGGAAAAAAATTATTCAATCAGTATTTTTTTAAAAAGTAATCACGTGTATGTATAAAACAGAACTAATAATATTTCAGGATAAAACATTATGAACGACTCTTAAGGAAATTCCGGATTTGGAAATTATTTCTGATTCAGTATCCACTTGATGTGCATTTACACTTGGCCATAACAGCTTCATATTCTAATCAATAACATTTAGCTCTCTCCACGGATATGAGTCAGAGACCCTTACTCCATGAACACACAAATGTGGAGTGATTTCAGCTTTCTCAGGGACCATTTATTCTGCAATAAACATGAATTTCATTGACATTCCCTTTATACTGTATGAGATCAAGTCAATATATACAAATCAGGATATGAACAAAATTGACCCCATAGCTACAAACGGTGGGGTGAAAATAGCAAACAGATTATTAATTACAAAGAGGATTTCTGCTGCACAGGCAGTTCCTCTGTGTCGGCCCTTGCAGCTTTCCCTCACGAAGCTTCTCCCACTCTGGTCAGGCAGATATTTGTATCATGGAGCAGGGTCCTGCAGTGTCCCCTGGGAGAAGCCACATGGAAGGACTTTACCCTATGCTACATCATTTCAAGGCTTTCCACCCAAGTGCCTTTGAACTGATAACATTACACAGTGCAGAGCTCAAGCATCAGTGCTTTGAGTCTTCTGTTTTATCTTTAAAAACCATGAGAGTTTTGCACAAGTCTACACATGAAGTCCTTCTACCTCACTCCCAAAATTTTCAGGTGAAATACAGGCTTATCTTGTAGCTTCCCATACTCTTCTGAAATCTTCCGCTAACCCCCACATTATTCAGGCCCCCAAGGGAAGAAGCACAGGCCTGAGTAACAGCTGTCGATATTTACCAATGGGAGGAACACCACACTCTTAACTCCTGCATCAAGGTGGCCCTGTTGTTTCAGAGGATGGAGAGCAAAGGCAGCTGTTGTTAAATTTTCTGCTCTCACCTCATGCCCAGCAGTTAACGGATTTTCACATACCCCAATGTTTATTATACAATCTTTTTGTTCCAGGCTCTAAGGATTTATATGTTTTAAAACTTACATAATCCTCACCGTAACACTGTAAGGTAGATAGAAACATTATCCTCATTACACAAATAAGAAAATGGAGGCATAAGAGAGGTCGTACATCTGGGGGGAAATAGGAGTCAAGCTCACTTCAGGTCTGTCCCAACTGCGTTACACTCTTAACCACGCTTCTCTGCCCTTCTGTGAAGAGCTAGGAATCTGCATAAATACCACAAAATGATATGATATGCAAAAGAATGTTTAATTACTAATTCTCTTCCTAAAATTAAATTGTAAAAAAAAATTTTAAAGCTCATCCTCACCTTCTAGGTTTTTTTATAATGGTAAGTCTCATAGAAGTTAAACATATCAGTACTCCTAGGGTTGAAAACTAGGGTTGTCTCTTAACAATATGGCAGTTGTACAAGGTCACTATAGAATTAGATTTAACCTGAGCTTTGGCATTCGAAGTGTTCGGGTGCAATAAACTCAGACTCCAAATTTTCATACCTAGGTGCCCAGCTTTCCACAGCGTGATCCAATGGGACCCCTTGGGGATGGGGTTTGTAGCATTTACTGAGGATGAGCAGGAATGAGAAACCAATAAGTTAAATGCCCTGGGCAGCACGGTCTCCTGGCCTATCCCATGTATTTACACTATGTGTGAAGGCTGGACTATCCAGGTTATGGGCACAAAAAAGGAAAAAGAGGAGGCCTAATCTGACCCTGACCCACTGCTATACCTGAAGGCTTTGCCATCCCTTATCAGCCACTGCTAGTCCAGTCTACTGGCACCTTATGAACAGTCACTGGCTCACTGCAGGTGGATAAAGACATTCCCAAGCAATAGCAAGGGGATAACCGGGTCGAAGACCACCAGCAGCCCAGGAGTCCCAATATTTTTATAGCCCAGGCTGCACAATGCTCTTTAACTAATCACTTCTGCAAACTGTTGTTCATATCCATTGTAACAAAGTCTAGGGCTGCCCAAAGCCAGTGTTTAAGGATATACAGCAATCGCCTGGGGCGCTGATTAAAAAATGCAGAATCCATAGGGATTCTAATGCAGCAGATAAGGTAGACCCTGGAATGTTTTCAGTAATTGCCCCAGATGACAAAGCTTCACTCTAGGTAAACCTTCGTCTATCAGTTTTGTATGAAACTAATCATCCATATATGGTCCTGTCCTGACACTAGACTGTAAACACCATGAGGCCTGGGACTGTTTTTTCCTCTTTGTATCTTCAATGCCCAACCTAACACCTGGTTCACTGAATGAATAGTAGTTGAAGCTGATTGTCCCACAGAGATGAAGCTCTGTGCCTTGTCCTTTAGGTACAGAGAGAGATACATAGCATCTGACCTACCCTGGAAGACTGACAAGGCTGATCCCATCTCAGCAGAATCTGAATCGAGAATATGGCAGAATATCATTGCTTTTGCCAGAACAACCAGATGAAGAACAAAAAGTGAATGTGTTCCATTCCCTCATGAGGCTTCTGAAGCTTTCCTTATGATCTGATCACAACAAAGGAGACAGGCAACCGACAAATAGCACGCTGGTCCTGAAACACCGCTGGCATCTTTGTTATCAGCCTTCCTGGCCCTTAGAGAGAGATCTGCTTTCAGCGCTCCAGCAAGGAACAGACACAAAACTTCAGCCTCTCTCTTAATAAGTCCTTGATTTACTTGTCTCAAGGTAAGAGGACAGTGGTGGTAGGTTGAGATTTTTCAGGGTTTGGAGTGGTGGCTCTCCAGCTCTTGTGTGTGGATTACTAGGGTAAGCCCAGAAGCAAGGAGTTTTAAACCAGCACCCCAGATGATTTAGATGAAGATGCCCCCAGGCCACCGCAGGTGAGCATCTTCATAGGATTATCAGCTCGAAACCAGTTGTGCCTATTTCCTGCTGGGAAACCTGGGGAGCTGGGAAAAGCAGAAAATTTATCAAGCTCTGGTAAGAGTGAACTAATTATAACTGCTAAAGTGTTGGTTGGATGCGGGAAAATGTTTCCTTGGTGGGCTTGTGAGTACCTGGAAAATTTCAGGAGTGGCAGTGTACCTACTTCTCTGGAATTTCCTGAAAAATGGGATCCTAAAAATAGGCTGAGAATTGGCCCATGCGTCCTTTTTTTTTCCTTAAATCACCTGTTAAGTCACTGATAAAAATTTTATTTTTATTCATTTATTATTTATTTTGGATTCAGGAGGTACATGTGCAGGTTTGTTACACTGGTATATTGTGTGATGCTAAGGTTTGACGTACAGATGGTCCCATCACCCAAGTGTCAGCATAGTACCCGATAGGTAGTTTTTCAGCTCACGCCCCCTCCCTCTTCTCCTAGTAGTGCCCTGTATGTCCTTAATATACATATTGTCAGCTCTGTATTTCTGCCCTGTGTGTAATTTTCATACTTCACATTCCACCCTAAGGTGTGGAGCTCTTAAGGGTGGGAAAATAAAATTCTGTTCATTATTGGCATCCTTAGCCTGGTTCCCCATGAGCTGACTCCAGTGTACTTACCTAGTTTCATAGTCTGCTTTGCTGCCCACCGCTGCTCTCCACCCTCTCGCTCCCTCCTACATGACACTTATGTGAGCCTCCCAGGACCGTTATCTAGCTGATATACACCAACATAACTGCACACGAAGGGCTAAAACATTGAAACACTCCATGCTAGTTGGCAAACAATGGTTGTCTCAATCTCCATGAATGCCCCCATCTGCTGCTCTGGACTCTCCCCTAGAATCCCCAAGATGTAACAGTAAATAAAGGGTTAATGCCTGGCACAGCAGGGAGGCTTCTAGGACCCTGCTGCAGCCCAGCTGGGGCCTACTCGTCCATTTTGATTGTCCAAATATTTTGAATATTATCTCTGGCTTCCAAATTCCCAAAACACACATCACATTTTCACCCCTCTGGGCTTCTGCTGGCACAGTGCCCTTTGCTCAGAATGTCCTTCCCTCCAGCCTTCTTGAAACCCCTCTCATAATCCAGATCTTTGGTTCAAACAATCTTCTCCAAGAAGTCCTCCCCAGTCCCAGTCTCCCCTCTCAAAACAACTACTCCCTCCACCACAGCCACGGGCATTTTCTTCAAACCTTTTTGTATAACTCTTATCTTTTGTGTTCCTGTAGTTATTTATACATACATTCTAACATATCTACTTCCCCCACTGCTGAAATTTGAAGAATAGGTTTAAACCTATTTAAAGAATAGGTTTAAATTTGAAGAATAAATTTCCAGAAAGGCCGGGTGCAGTGGCTCACAACTGTAATCCCAGCACTTTGGGAGGCTGAGGCGGGCAGATCATCTGAGGTCAGGAGTTCACAACCAGCTTGACCAACATGGAGAAACCCCATCTCTACTAAAAATACAGAATTAGCCAGGCGTGGTGGCACATGCCTGTCATCCCAGCTACTTGGGAGGCTGAAGCAGGAGAATCACTTAAACAGAGGAAGCGGAGGTTGCAGTGAGCTGGATCATGCCATTGCACTCCAGCCTGGGAAACAAGAGTGAAACTCCATCTCAAAATCCAAAAAAAAAAAAAAAAAAATTCCAGAAAGTCAGTCTTTGGCCACATGGCAATTTCTTTGAAGTTAACATAGTCCTATCTGATCCGGTGCAAGGATATGCTTTAACCACAGACAGGTTTGACCCTCCCAGTTTCTTGGGTATGGTTTGGAAGGCCACAGGAGTACATTAAAAGGTCCAGCATCAGCTGGGTGCAGTGTGGCTCACACCTGTAATCCCAGCACTTTGGGAGGCCAAGGTGGTCAGATCACTTGAGCTCAGGAGTTCCAGACCAGCCAGGCCAACATGGTGAAACCCTGTCTCTACTAAAAATACAAAAATTAGCCCGGCATGTTGGTGCACGCCTATAGTCCCAGCTACTCAGGAGGCTGAGGCATCAAAATCATTTGAACCTGGGAGGTGGAGGTTGCAGTGGGCTGAGATCATACCACTGCACTCCAGCCTGGGCGACAGAGTGGAGTGAGACTGTCTCTTTAAAAAAAAAAAAAAAAGGTCCAGCATCTAGAAGCCAGAGGCAAATATAAGCAAGTCCCCAAACCAAAAAACATCCTATCAAATATAGTACCTGGGACAGAGGGACTGGCAACGGGCTTCCTGACTGTACTGATAGTGCCTCTTCTGACAGACAAGAGCTCTACCTTCTCTGTGCCAAACCCATCTTCATCTGCCATGCTGCAGGACAGACCTGCTAGGCAGAGGCAGCCAGCAGACCTGATCTGACTTTAGTTTCTTCTCGAAACTGCCTTCCTTTGTCTTTTTGTTTTCTAGCTTCTCATTACCTTGCAGAGGCAGCATTTCAGCAAATAATAGATTGTAAACCTCCTGAGGCCAGCAGCAGCTCTTGCTGACCCTTTCACTCTCCATAATAGCTAATGATTATAGTATTAGACACTCATCGTGCACTATTATATGCCAGGCTTTGTTCAACGCACTCAACCTTACTAACCCATGATATCCCAACTATTATCAAGTACTGTTTTGTTTGTTTGTCTGAGATAGGATCTTGTTCTTTTGCCCAGGCTGGAGTGCAGCGGTATGATCACAGCTCACTGCAGCCTTGACTTCCTGGGCTCAAGTGATCTGCCCACCTCAGCCCCCCAGGTAGCTGGGACTATAGGTACATGCCACCACGCCCAGAAAATTTTTGTATTTTTTGTAGAGACAGGGTCTCCCCATGTTGCCCAGGCTGGTCTTGAACTCATGGCCACAAAGGATCCACCCGCTTCAGCCTCCCAAAGTGTTGGGATTACAGGCGTAAGCCACTACACCTGGCCTCAAGTACCATTATTAGCTTCATTTTACAAATGGGGAAGCCAAGTTGAGAGTGGCAAAATGATCTGAGGTGGGGATTGGCCCAGCTAGGCAGTCTGGCTCCAGCGTCCTCGCTCTTAACTGCTACTCAACATCTACTGTGTAGTAGGTGTACAATACAAGTCTGTCAAATATATGAGAAGTGTCTACAGGGCCTTCTTGGTTAAAAGGACACTACTTTAAGGGAGATTTTTATAAGCACTTGACATCCCCAAACTTCCCCAGATGACTTGTAGCTATGTTCTCATCATATACATACTGTACAACCCCAAACACCAGTCACAGGGGACGCGTGGTACACACACTCTGCTTAAACGTATGTGGATAATAGAGATAAATGCTGTGAGTGTTCGAAGGGTCTGAGTGGGGAAGAAAGGCTTGGAAGTAGTTTGGCCACTTTAGGACAATAAACTTTTACTCATTGAAGCAGAGAGACGTGTGTGAGTGCATTCATGCGTGCATGCGTGTGCAGGGTGAGTGATGATCAATAGGGAGCGAGCTGGTGGGGGCATCTCTTTTCTTTCTCCTCCCTGTGGTCTGACAAAGCCTGTCTGTCTTGGCTTGCAACCATTCGTAAAGACCCCATAGCTTCCACTGGCCTCCTGCGCAGGAGGGCAGGGAGCAGGGAGTCATTCATCACTGTCAAGAGATGTGCTGCACGCAGCAGGGCCCGCTTCCTTCCCTGCTGCTCCTGCAGCTAGAGCTGCAAATCTTGAAAAGATGCAGAACATGCACATAGCAAATAACCATTCATCATCTCAGCTCTGGAAGCCCCGGGAGAGGCCCCTCCCCTTGTGGGGCTGACCCATTCTGACTTAGACTCCAGCCCCACTGGAATTTGGAACACAGGGACTTTTCAGGTGCCTAATCCCCGCCCCAGCCTATCCCCATCCTGGATAATCTATTGAGGTTTGGGGTTAAAATTCTCTGAAATGATCCCCCCTGCCCCTTTCTCTACAAGGTCAGATTTTCAGAGTGCTTTCAGCAATCAGACTGCTGCCAAGGTGGCCCGTAATCATTAAATTATGAAAATACAAGTTGCTGAGAGGAAATGAATACCAGGTTTCACTAGGGAAAGGCCTGCTTTCTTGTGAAGTAATTATAATATTAAAATATCATATTTCTCTGGTGAGTATAAAAAGTCTCCTCACAAGGTAGGTCTGTGGCATGACAGCAACATCAGGATTTACACTGGGGTGGGACTGAGAGAGCCTTCTGTGCCCCCCAAATGCCAGAGACATCTGTAGGTAAATTTCCGAAGACTGGGTTAAGAGTGATTAAAAGCAGAAAGAGGGAAAAGTACCGAGTTTGAATTTTTCAATTACTCTGTAAAACTCAAGAGTCAAGCTGTTCAAAAATGCAGGGTTTCCAAGGAAGGCTAATAATGCTGAGCTAATTAGACCCACAGGCATGGCCAACATATAAATTCGGGCCCAAAAGAGGGACACTGTCCCTTTAAAAACTGCCTTGGGATCTGTGGAAAAGCTAATGAGGAGTGTCAGTTGGGGCTGCTTTATTAGGTGGTCCTCAAGAGGATAAAGCCTGGGGTTTCTGTAACAGGGCTTCTGTGCTTGATTCAATAAATCAATTTATATTAAATGCGGGTGCAGCTCTGGAGCTGGCTTCATAAAGCATTCTGTGGCGTTTCTCAATCTGCTCATCTACTTCCTTGTCAGCCTGCTTGAATGCACTGTCAGAGGACATTGAAGAAAGCAATAAAGAATAAGATAGAAGCTGTATCTATATTTGTAAAACCCAACCTGGCAGCTCCAGACCATGCGTGGAACTATCTCCAGTGAGTTTCTCTCTCCAGGAAGCATCTGGATTGTTGGTAAGAAGCCTGATGCTGTGGGGCTGTGCCTCTCCTCCCCAAGCCAAGCTCCAGGCTATAGATGGAGAATAAAGGTCGCCCCAAACACAATGGAAAGGGTTGGAAACCAAGCTGCTTTTAAATCATATTCTCAGGGCCTGAGATACTCCCCAAGAAATCAAAGGAAAAGCAAGAGGGACAACAGTGCCAACAGCTGGTCCTCATCCAGGAGACAGCTGAGAGAGCTGAAAGAAGGCTGCTGGGCTGCTTGGGGAGGGGAGGTGCACTACTGACTAGGGCCGATGAAACGGGTCTCTCTTTAGTCTGGCCAGCTGGAGGCAGCTTCTTGGTGGCCCAAAAGTGACCACTGGCTATGAGGTGAGTTGTTCCTAAGCACAATGACTGATGCCCCTGGGGATCAGAAAAGGGGTGTGAAGCCCACCTGTCTGCAGACTCAGAGTCCGGCAGCAGAGGCACCAGAGGCTGGTGTGGCTACACCATT